ACACACACTCTACACACACACGCTACACACACACTACACGCTACACACACGCAACACACACGCTACACACACAACACGTTACACACACTCTACACGCTACACACACTCTACACACACACTACATGCTACACACACTCTACACGCTACACACACACTACACTCTACACACACACTACACGCTACACACACACTACATGCTACACACACTCTACACGCTACACACACACAACATGCTACACACACTCTACACGCTACACACACACAACATGCTACACACACTCTACACGCTACACACACACTACACGCTACACACACACTACACGCTACACACACTCTACACGCTACACACACTCTACACAAACACTACACGCTACACACACACAACACGCTACACACACTCTACACGCTACACACACACTACACTCTACACACACACTACACGCTACACACACACTACATGCTACACACACACTACACGCTACACACACTCTACACGCTACACACACACTACACTCTACACACACACTACACGCTACACACACACTACACGCTACACACACTCTACACGCTACACACACACTACACTCTACACACACACTACACGCTACACACACACTACAAGCTACACACACACAACACGCTACACACACTCTACACGCTACACACACACTACACTCTACACACACACTACACGCTACACACACACTACACGCTACACACACTCTACACGCTACGCACACGCTACACACACACTACACTCCACACACACTACATGCTACACACACTCTACACGCTACACACACACTACACGCTACACACACACTACACTCTACACACACGCTACACACTACACACACCCAGAAGTCATCTGTCTTTCAGTTACACATTATGACAGTGCACTTGACTGAAACTCACTAAGTTGGATGATTGTGGCGAGTTTGAGAAACCTTCACAGCTTCAAAAGTGCTAATAATAAATGCACGACGTTGGAATCTATAATGTAATCTACATTATTCATAAAGACATTAGGCCGACAATGGAAAACAACAGCTCTTTTCGCACATGTCCAATTTGTTTAAGAAGTGCCTCCCAGAACCCTTTATAAAAAACACACACATATAAATGTGGTTTACGTAACAGTGTCTTTGATGCCGAATAAAATAAATATGGATTTTCTGTTTCCGTAAAGAAAACATGTGGCGTTTTTACTTTGCTAATAAGTTAGTCTGTGAATCATGATTATGTTTTTATCTTTATATATACAGTATATGAATTGTTTTAGTTTATTGTACAGGGACATTGTGCATGAATAAACATTTCTGTAAATGCACCAGAATTAGATAAGAATGCTATTTTTGCTATTTTTCATCTGCAGTCCCCGGGCAGATGTACATAGTCTCCCTATGCGGCACGGTGGCTGAGTGGATAGCACTCTCGCCTCTCAGCAAGAAGGTTCGAATCCCGGTCGGACCAGGGTCTTTCTGAGTGGAGTTTGCATGTTCTCCCCGTGTCTGTGTAGGTTTCCTCCGGGTACTCCGGTTTCCCCTACCACTAAAAATATGTACAGTAGGTCTGGCATGTGCCTCCTGTACTGGCCCCGCTCCCATCTCTGTGTGGAGTGAGAGAAAAATGCCCAAAAAATAACAATTGTAAACTGCTTTGAGACTCAGATGTGCAGTGAAAAGGCGGTATATAAATAAAGATTACTTACTTACTAAAAACAGTAAAACAAAAAAAGTTGTAAAATAATACAATGCAGAAAAACACAGACAGTCGTGAAAACAAGAAAACATACATCACACAATAAAACACAGGTCACAGACGAAAGAGACAAAGAAATGAGTAAAGGGACCTAAACTAATGCACACTGTCTGCTTCGGTTTCCTCCGCGTGCTCCGGTTTCACCTACCATTTAAAACATGTACAATAGTTCTGGCATGCGCCTCCTGTTCGGCGACCTCGCTTCCATCTCTGTGCGGAGTCTGGTCTGTGAAAGGCACCAAATAAATAAAAGAATGGATTACTTACTGTCTCAAAGTGTCCTCTTCAGAGTCCTGACTTTTGGACCAGCAAGAGACTAGTCCCTGTGCTCCTCAGAGTCCCAGCAGGAGGCCAGTCCCTGTGCTCCTCAGAGTCCCAGCAGGAGGCCAGTCCCTGTGCTCCTCAGAGTCCCAGCAGGAGGCCAGTCCCTGTGCTCCTCAGAGTCCCAGCAGGAGGCCAGTCCCTGTGCTCCTCAGAGTCCCAGCAGGAGGCCAGTCCCTGTGCTCCTCAGAGTCCCAGCAGGAGTCCAGTCCCTGTGCTCCTCAGAGTCCCAGCAGGAGGCCAGTCCCTGTGCTCCTCAGAGTCCCAGCAGGAGGTCAGTCCCTGTGCTCCTCAGAGTCCCAGCAGGAGGCCAGTCCCTGTGCTCCTCAGAGTCCCAGCAGGAGACCAGTCCCTGTGCTCCTCAGAGTCCCAGCAGGAGGCCAGTCCCTGTGCTCCTCAGAGTCCCAGCAGGAGGCCAGTCCCTGTGCTCCTCAGAGTCCCAGCAGGAGGTCAGTCCCTGTGCTCCTCAGAGTCCCAGCAGGAGGCCAGTCCCTGTGCTCCTCAGAGTCCCAGTTGTTTCATATGTTTTTTTCTGTGTAATTATTTTTCTGACCCTCCACAAGGCATGAGATTATAAAACAAGAAATAATCAGCCACTTCAAGCTCGGGTACCAAATCATTTTCTTTGATAAATAATAAAGTATTTTTTTCATAGTCGCTTGTTTTCTTTAAGATCTTTCAGAATAAAATCCAGGGTAAAATCTCCATGAAAATATCTGATCGTTATAAGTGTGTGCAGAAGGTCAAATCCACAGACATTTTGCCCCAGATGAAGTTATAGATGCAGCAGTGATTACTTGTATCTGGGATATTTCTTCTCTCTCTTCCATCTCTCTCTTCCATCTCTCTCTTCTCTCTCTTCCATCTCTCTCTTCTCTCTCTTCTCTCTCTTCCATCTCTCTCTTCCATCTCTCTCTTCTCTCTCTTCCATCTCTCTCTTCCATCTCTCTCTTCTCTTCCATCTCTCTCTTCTCTTCCATCTCTCTCTTCTCTTCCATATCTCTCTTCTCTCTCTTCCATATCTCTCCTCTCTCTCTTCCATCTCTCTTCTCTCTTCCATCTCTCTCTTCTCTCTCTCCTCTCTCTCTTCCATCTCTCTCTTCTCTCTCTCCTCTCTCTCCTCTCTCTCTTCTCTCTCTTCCATCTCTCTCTTCTCTCTCTCCTCTCTCTCTTCCATCTCTCTCTTCTCTCTCTCCTCTCTCTCTTCCATCTCTCTCTTCTCTCTCTCCTCTCTCTCCTCTCTCTCTTCTCTCTCTTCTCTCTCTTCCATCTCTCTCTTCTCTCTCTCTTCTCTCTCTTCCATCTCTCTCCTCTCTCTCTTCTATCTCTTCCATCTCTCTCTTCTCTCTCTTCCATCTCTCTCTTTTCTCTCTTCCATCTCTCTCTGCTCTCTCTTCCATCTCTCTCTTCTCTCTCTTCCATCTCTCTCTTCTCTCTCTTCCATCTCTCTCTGCTCTCTCTTCCATCTCTCTCTGCTCTCTCTTCCATCTCTCTCTTCTCTCTCTTCCATCCCTCTCTTCTCTCTCTTCTCTCTCTCCTCTCTCTCTTTTCTCTCTTCCATCTCTCTCTGCTCTCTCTTCCATCTCTCTCTTCTCTCTCTTCCATCTCTCTCTTCTCTCTCTTCCATCTCTCTCTGCTCTCTCTTCCATCTCTCTCTGCTCTCTCTTCCATCTCTCTCTTCTCTCTCTTCCATCCCTCTCTTCTCTCTCTTCTCTCTCTCCTCTCTCTCTTCTCTCTCTTCCATCCCTCTCTTCTCTCTCTTCCACCTCAGACAAATATAGCGCCACTTGCTAACTTTGTCTTGTTTACATCTCAATGGGTAATGACTTCTCGCTAACAACCTTGTGGATAAAAGCAGACTATTTGGTACATCTCTGCATAGAATTAGTGTTAATTTACTTGCTATTTACACCCGAGGGACATTAATTACGCTTTTGTTGCACGGCCCCAGCAACTCTGCACAAACATCAGAGAACAAGGAGCCGGCCGTGGTACCCGAGCAGGCGGAGTACAAAGTCTCCTCTCTCTCATTCTGTGCAGCACAAAAGAGTCGCTCTCTCTGGTCGTTTTCGTGCAGCCACTTCCCAAAACCACCGTCTCTCAGACACGGCGCACGGAATCAAAGATGCAAGAAATGAATGAAAGGAAACAGCTTTTTGAATGGGTGGAAATTAGTCAATACTTAATTCGAAGAAGGCAAAACCAAATTGTGTCGTGGTTAAAAACATGTTACGGATTGGTGTGTTTGTGTGTGTTTGCTTTTGACATACTGTAACTCACTTGATGGATGGTATTAACGGCTCATAAGAGATTTTAGCAGAGTTTTTCTAAGTGTTTCAAGTGAGAATGATACAAGTTGGCCCATGCTTTTGGTTGCAATGTGACAACTTGGATTCCATAAAGAACTGGGCTTAAATCAAAGCGGCGAGGATTTAATCTGGATTGGTTTAACGTTTTGGAATTGAAATTTATGGTCGACTTAACACTTCTTGCAACGGCTTAATTTGTAAATATCACATTTATTGGGACATCTAAAGAAGCTTATTCATTCACTCCATACACAGTGGTGCTAAACTGTCAGAAGAAAGGAAACCAGTCTGTGTCACCGGCCCCTCCCACACACGCACACGCACACGCACACACACACACACACACACACATTCCAGGCAATTTGGCTGAAGTGTCTTTTCAAGAACACGACATATGTTTAGCACTTTACAGCCTCCCCACTATGGCACCTGCTGTTCCCAGATGTCTCCCATCACAGCACTAACCAAGCCCTGCCCTACTTAGTTTCAGAGGTCTGCCTGGATCTGGCTTTCACATGCACCGGGCAACATCTGTAAATAGACTTTTCTAAGCTCAAGAATCAGTGTTTCTTCATCAATATACTATCCAAAGTTCATTTCTTTTGCAAAATGTGTCCCACTGTCACACATGACCACTCCCCCGACCTGCGGAATACCACAGGGGTACCACAGGAGTACCACAGGGGTACCACAGAGGTACCACAGGGGTACCACAGGGGTACCACAGGGGTACCACAGGAGTACCACAGGGGTACCACAGGAGTACCACAGGGGTACCACAGAGGTACCACAGGAGTACCACAGGGGTACCACAGAGGTACCACAGAGGTACCACAGGGGTACCACAGGAGTACCACAGGAGTACCACAGGAGTACCACAGGAGTACCACAGGGGTACCACAGGGGTACCACAGGGGTACCACAGGGGTCAATCCTAAAGCCTAGTGTACACTCGCGCGGCGCTGCTAACGTCAGCGGATGCGGTGGACCTCCGCAAGCACAATTTAATTTATATTCCTTGCGGAGTTTTGAGGAGAATGTTGTAATCGCACAACCAACCACACGATGGCGATCTCACAGGAGTTGCTTGAGAAACCAAAGCGGTCTCATTTACGCTGCTTCTTTCTCCTCTTCAGAACAAAACATGAACAAACAAAGCTGTTTGAGATCATTACATGTGTTTCTACTGTAGGTTTATGTGATAGTTCTATGGACTCATTATTTCTTGACTCATTTAACTGTGATGCTGTGAATAAAGACACAGTTCTGTTGGAAACATAGTTCTTATTAATAGTTTTTTTATATATATATGTTAGATATAAGTATATATATGTTAGATATAAGTTATATATATGTTAGATAGTCCACAGTCTCCTGTATATCAGGCTCTGAGCCCAAACTACTTTTCCTTCGGTTCCTTCGAAGCTCAAAGCTCTCTGCTCCATAGTGCCTCGTCCATGCTCCTGCTGCAGCCGCTTCATGCTTCCTTCCAATACACACACACGGACCAATCACAGCGGAGCTTCCTTGCGGCGACCTTTACGTAGTTAGAAAATGTCGATGCTGCGCGGCAGGCAACGTAAGGGCCTTGCGGTGACCAACGCGTTGCGCAAGTGACGTCACGTCACCTCCGTAAGCTCCGCGCGAGTATACACTAGGCTTTAGACCTCTTCGGTTCAGTCTCTACCCGCTGCCGTCTGTGAAACAATCAAATCTATGTCTCACTAGCTGCGTTTCCATTGAGCATCAAATTTCGAAATTTGAATTTGCGCATCATAAAATGTCTAATGGAAACGCGCAAATTTCGAATAAACCACAGTTTTTCGATAAAAAGTTAATGCGCTTAAAATCGGTGGTTTTTTGGACGTATCGAAATTAAGTTTTTCGCAAAACGGCAATGGAAACACTTATTTCGATATAGCGGAGGAAGCCGCTGCTTTATTCAGTGAGTTTTGGCTGCGCTTCGTGTGGAGACTTGGGAGATACGTGGGAGAGGCATGGGGGAGAGACGGGGAGAGACGGGGGAGAGGCATGGGGGAGAGACGGGGAGAGACGGGGAGAGGCCAGATGGGAGAGACGGGGGGAGAGACCGGGGAGAGACAAGGCAAGAGTGTCTATGGTTCTCAAGCGGTCTATAGTCCGCGCTCGGTACATGACCACGCGCGTTTGCGGAGCTGTCAAAGCAGCCACAGTTTCTCCCGGGTCGGGTCAGAGAGGATGAGAGCCGCAGCAGAAGTCAAGACATTAATATATCTCACGTAAATCAAAGTGTTGTTTACTTCTGTTGTCATGTTGACGTACTAGAAACTAGTGAATAAACGCGCGACCATAGTGTATACTTATTCGAATATGTCTTAATGGAAACGGCCGCTTTTGCGAATTACAGGTTTTTCGAATTTTGAAATGTATCGAAAAAGTTTTTGCGCATTATTCAATGGAAACGCAGCTACTGACTGCAGGAGAACATGGACCAGTGGACTCAAACCCTCACCCACATCCATCAGGTCCCTGAGTGGATGCAAACCATTTTGAAAATATGTCAAAAGTTATAATCCTCTAGGTAATCTTCCACATGTTTTGTTATTGGCAGTGCATTTTAAATAATATGTTCAAGAGATAAGAAAATATAATTGTATGGCACTAAAATAGATCTGGCTTTTCAAACAATAACTTGGTGATGAGCAAACTGTAAGCCTTCCCTATCCGTCTCTATTTTAAATTATGATATTATTATGATATATTATTATTGTATGCTATATATCCATCCATCCATCTTCTACCCCTTAAGCCATTTCTGGGTCAGAGGGTTGGAAATCAGAGATGCCACCCAAGCCCCCTAATTATATATACAGTATTATACATTATAAAAAGCTATGAGTGGAATAGTTTAATACATCTCATTTCAATCCTTCCATTGGCTGTACCCTGAGCTATTTTTATTCTAACACCGACATCATACTCCGACAACCTCTTCTCTCTGCCCACAGCCTGATGAAGACCCCATTACATTAAATCAAAGTTTTCCCAGGCCGTGGAAACTGCTTCTTTAAGTAAAAGGCTGTCTCCCGATTGGTGTCCAATTCTACGCGTCAGCTCGGGTTAGCGTCAGCGCGGCCTGCTAGCTCCACGGTTCCCCTCCGCAGCCCACCAGCCAACCCTGATTAGGCCTCTGATTTCCCCCCCTCGGATCCCAGAGGACAGCCTGATCTCTGTTTGCTGTCCTGGCATAACACAAACACCAGCTGCTGGAGGTGTATTGATACAGCCCTCCGTGACAAAAACGTTCACTCGCCATTAAAGCCACTATCGGCGCTGGTTTTAGCACAATAAGAACAAAACATGGAAATAGGAAACCGTGAGTGCAATGAATAAATGATGGAGATAACAGTTGACTTGGCTGCGACACAGCCACAGAAACCAAGTTGAACAAAAATTGAGAAACCATAGTCCGTGGTGTAAATGCCCACTGCACTGTAAATAGGGATACAGAATAATCAAATATTTGGAAAAATTTGGCAAAATGTGTCTTAATTTTTGACCACATTGTACTGTCTACAAATAAGATTTTTTCCAAAGGAACAAAGCAAAATGGTCTTGATTTAAAAATATACAAGAAATGTCTCTCTTGGAATGAGAAAATTAGCAACAGTTCTAGAAATAAAACTAAATGGCCTTGTCCCATTGGAGAATCATGTTTAAGGTAGTCAGAATGTGCTCAAATTAAGATAAAAACCACTCGATTCAAGCAATTTTTACCTAAAAAGTGGTCTTTTTTTTTGTAATTTTTGGACGATGCTATTATCAAGAATATAAAACTGAGAGGTAAGCACTCTTGGCCTACAAACGAGAGGGTCACGTGTTTGATCCCCAGGCCTTTCTTTTTGATGTTTCTCCAAGCTCAACTAAAATATCATTTTTTCCTCTTGTGTGTGATAAGACTTCTGACAACTTTGTCCAAGAAGCTGGAGTGTTGGAAACAGACCACAGCATGCATCTTCATCGTTTGTATGAAGTAGACAGCGCCCTGAGAGTCACCCTTCGACACTTTGGGCTGAGATCTGATTGGCTGAGAGAGGGTGGTTCTCTTTGTTACTTTTGTTGTCTGAAAAAAGCTGATCTAAACTCCTGACAGAGGCTAAAATTGCATGCAACCCCAATCAACACCATCACTCACTCGTTACATTCAGACCTGCGCACCCGGAGGAAACCTACGCAGACACAGGGAGAACATGCAAACCCTTCTTGCTGAGAGGTGAGAGTGGCCCCCGTTCAGCCACTGTGTCAGCCTGAGACAAGTTGCATATTTAGTGGTGGATGAGAGTTGTGTAGCCCAGACGTGAAGGATTCTCCAGAGTCCACTGGGGCCTTCTCGGTGCATTTGACCCGTTCGTCCAAAGCCACAGTTCTGGAGGTCTGGAGCCGTGCAGATGTTAGATAAGATAATCCTGTATGTGTCCCACACTGGGGAAACTTCAATGTCATCGTTGCACATTGCAGCAGAGAAAAGAAGGAAATAAGACTCAGACGCACTCAAACAAAGTCTATTATTTAAGATTATAGATCATGAATAAAACAACAAGTTAAAATCAAAACTCCGGAGCTATATTTTCACTTGGTTCAAGGATTGTACACTAGTTTACACTTTAGTCAGCAGGAGGTATTTACAGATGTTAATATATAATGTAGTAATATACAAGATGAGATCAAATATTCTTTTATGAGTCCCACATTCAGGAAACTTCAGTGTCATTGTTCCACATTACAGCAGAAAGAAAAATAAGGAAACTAAAGATATTAAGGAGGATGTCCTACTTCCGGGTGGATCATCAAAACTATTGGTCCTCCCAGTCGTCAATCATTCTGGTGCTCGTCCAATCAGAGCAAAGATTTTTGTTTAAGAAGTGGAGGTCGGATCTTTTCTAAAATTTGGGAAACTCTTCCGATATGCCTCTAGGATAATAACATTAAAATCATAAAACAGTAAGTAATAGGATGTTAAGATACAATACATTATAATACAACTCTGGAGCTATAATGTCACTTGGTAAGTAAGTAATGTTTATTTATATAGCGCATTTTACAGACCAAGGTACAGACCCAAAGCACTTTACAATGTTCAGAGTCAGATATCAATCAATCAATCAAAGTTTATTTGTAGAGCGCCTTTCATACACAGGGCAACACAAAGCGCTTCACAGTCCACATCACAAATCATCACATAAAACAAACAACCAGAATCACAATTAAAACATAAAATCACACAAAAGATTAAAACACAATTAAAACATTAAATCACACAAAAGAATAAAACCATTAAAACTTTCAAAATTACACAAGAAATTTAAAAAAAATAAATAAATGACAGCAGTGCATTAAAATGGAGATAAAATCCTTCAGTTGTATGCACAGGCAAACAGAACAGTCTTTAACCTGGATTTGAACATTGACAGAGTAGACGCCTCCCTCACATTTTCAGGGAGATTGTTCCAGATCTTAGCTGCATGGATCTGAAACGCAGCCTCCCCATGTTTGGTTCTCACTCTGGGCACCAGCAGGAGGCCAGTCCCTGTGCTCCTCAGAGTCCGGGCCGGTTCATATGACACCAACATGTCACTAATGTATTCTGGTGCAAGGCCATGGAGAGACTTGTACACAAGCAGAGCCGTTTTTTAAAATCTATTCTTTGAGCCACAGGAAGCCAGTGCAGAGACCTGAGGACCGGACTAATATGGTCATACTTCCTGGTTCCTGTCAGGACTCTAGCTGCTGCATTTTGGATGTACTGCAGCTGCTTACAGGTCTGTTTGGACAGACCTGTAAGCAGGCCATTGCAGTAGTCTAGCCTGCTGGAGACAAATGCATGGACAAGAATCTCCAAGTCTGCCCTGGACACTATATTTCTAACTTTGGCAATGTTCTTCAGATGGTAAAAAGCTGTTGATGTT